TATGGAATGAGGGAACTAGAGAGGAAGGGAATAAGAGAAAGGAGGGGGGAGTGAAGGACACACTCAGGTCTGCTGACTGATAAACAGACTCCTCTTTGTGCAGATGGAGACAGACAGACACACACACACACACACACACACAGTTACATATTGACAGAGACCTCTGCATGACTTGGCTCCTCATGATTCTGTGCACCCCTCCTTTGTCTCCTCTCCCCCTCCATTGCTCTGTTTTTTCTCTCTTTCCACTTAATTGAAAACAGAAGTCAGAAATGGAAGAATTTAGTTTTTCTTTCACAACGCAAACATGCATGTCTGCGTGCACAGGCGCACACACACAGACATAACCCCCCCCCCCCCCCCCTTTTCTCATCATCTTGCCAAGCAGCTGTTGGTTAGACGAGGGGGAGGTGTTCCAGGAAAAGAGAGTGTGTGGTAGTAGTGGTGGTAGTGATTTGTTTCCACAAAAGGGGCCTTCTTTGTCTTACGGTATAACAAAAAAGGCAGCTGGGATGATAAAACATGTGGATGTTAAGATGTCAGCAACTCCACGAGTGTGTTCTAATGTGCTTGTGTGCGTGTGTGTGTGTCTAGCCACACATGTGTTCTGCCTCTGTCATCTCCTCTCCTCCCCCACAATGACTAAGTGTAACATGGTGCAGTGCTACATAACCACCACTAGAGGTGCCATTGACTCATAAATGAAACAAGCTCTCCATGTGGAAACCACACAGCAGCCATTTTACAATCTGCACACCAGACCCCATTTTATGAATCAGCCATGATGTCAACATAGCTAAGCCTGATTCCATTGGCTAGAGCAGCAGCTGGCACTGTAGCTATTAAAGCACGGATGCACACACACACAAATGCATGCTCCCTCACCGGCTCTCCATCTCTCTGAGATACACACACAGGCACACACTGACCTAGTGACATGATGCTGTCACTAGGTCACTACTCTTGTCCCAGACTAACTGGATTGTCGCTCCTTGAGATTATATGCGATCCAGATTAGATGTTCATCTGTGCTGTAACTTTGTACTTTATACAGGTCTGCTTGTGTTTAGAGGTATAATTCCGCCCCCCTTTCCCCTTCTAGCTGATATTTTAAGTCATTATCAGTCTTCCTCTGTGTGTGTGTGTTGTGTGTGTGTGTGTGTGTGTGTGTGTGTGTGTCTGTTCAAAGATGTTTATTTGTAGATTCTTGTCTCTTCCTTTGAGTTTCTTCCTAACCTTTCAGCTGTGACTTGCTGTGTTTATGTGTTTGTGCAGAGATATTTATGTTGTTTCCTGACAGATGTCCTGATGGATTTTCCTACCCTGTATTTGTGTAATGGTTGACTTCCTGCTATGGTTTCCTGTTCTCAGCAGGGACTATGGCTGGAGTGTTGGATACACAATAGTATCATTGATTCATGGTAGTGATACACACCCACGATTATAGTGATATAACGCAAAGTATATGCAAACAATAGAAGTACAGAGTTCAAACAAGTTTGAGTCAAACTTTAGTGCAATCTGTGAGTGATGGTTGATTCTTAGAGTGGAGTTTCAAAAAGCTGAAGCTGGTGCTGACTGAAACAATGGGACTTATTGAGGCCACAGTCCACTGACTGACTGTTTTGTGTGTTTTCTAAGTGGAGAGATGAGGAGCTCATTAAGAGCCTGGATTTGTTAACAGATTGTCTTTCACATAGAGACAAAGCACAGTTTGACAGGACATATGGAAGGATGGACAGATGGATGAATAAGTTGTTATGCTGTAGTAACTATCTCTGTGTCTGTGTGAAGAATACTTACAGTGTTGCTGGTTGAATGAGAGAGACAGTGTGGACAGATTGTGTAAAAAGATGGTGGAATGACTGTGAGGAAGTAAAGAAATTAGGCCACATATGCAGCACAGAGAGCTTGGGGGTTAGATAAACCTAAATTACAATGGATAATAAATATTACTAAGGTAAGGTAATTAAGCAGCTGTAAGTAGCTTTGTCTCCACAACATCTAGTCATTATTTTATAGTGGTTTCAGTAGTTTCAGTCCAGATAGCCTTGCCTGTTGTAGTGAAACCTAATTTTAGCTTCTGATGACATTACATGAGGTCATCACTGGGCAGTGGAAGCAGGTGGGCTACTCAGCACACCGGGCGGAATTTGATTTGTATTGTTTGTATGTGTGTTTCAGACTGAAAGAGAGACAACAGAGTCTCACTGTACATGCTATACCAGCTCTCTTGCTGGCTGTTTTCCAGACAGTGACTCTTGTTTCCTGTCACTGTCTGGTCTTTACACAGATACAAGGCCACATAGATAATTAGACCAAACCTAAAGAGAGGCTGGAACAAAAAGTGGGTGGTAGAAATGTTCCAGTTTTTACCAGATTTTAAACAAACTAAACTTTTTGGGGATTTTTTTCCTGTATTGGACAGAAAGAGGGAGGGAGGGGATGACACGCAGCAAAGAGCCTCAGGTCAGACTCGACCCATGGCCTTTGCAGCAAGGCTTTGTTTCAACTGGCGCTTGCTCTGACAGGTGAGCTACCAGGGAGCCCAGTTTCTTAGAATTTTAAAAGAATACTGGATGAAGAGGAATAGACGTGGTTTTGAGACTGAGACGTACTCCAAGACCTTTCCCATGACTTGTTCTGATACCTATTCCATTGTTATTTATAATACTAATGGCCTTACTTGTTTTAATCATCCATTCATGAGCTGAAAAGGCATTTAATTTATGAATGAGAATGACTAAACCGCTATTATCAATTATCAATGACAATTTTTTGTTGATCAGCTAATGATTTCAGCACAAATCATGCCATACAGTATTTGTGTTGCGCTTGCAGATGAATGTTAATTTGAGTATGAGTGGTAATACTGGCAGGAACAAGTGAACAGCTGTGACATCCATCACTCTGATGTACGCTGACCTTAGATCTGATGTGCCTGCGTACAGTGGGCTGTAATGTGGTCAAACACATGTGCTTGTTCATCTTTCACTCCTAATTCTCATCCAGAGCACATTCACCCCCACACTCTGACACATCCTTACAGTCACAATCCTGACCTTGTCAGAACATGTTAATGTTAAGTGTTTCTGTCGTCTGTGTGTGTGTGTGTGTGTGTGTGTGTGTGTGTGTGTGTGTGTGTGTGTGTGTGTGTGTGTGTGAGTGTGTGAGAGAGAGTGTGTGTGATAGAATGTACTGTATATGCATGTGTGTAAGCTGATTGCAAACTTTAAATCCCTTACAGCTAACAAATGTCCGACCATATTTACCAGGCCAACACACTTCCAGGGACATCTTTCCCCCAGTGTTACAGCCATTTCATAGCAGTTCCATTTCACCCAAGGCCATTGATACAATAATCCTAACACCTCCGTGACACCATGCAGTTGGGAGAGAGTGAAAAAAGTGAAGGCAGTGCAAAGTCTGTCAGTTTTTATAGCCATCACATAGGCCCTCTATTCATCCCTCATATCCACTTTTCTCCATTACCCACTAATTTTGTCCTGATGGACTTTCTTTCTTTCCAACATTATTTCTGTTCATATCCAGCTGTAAATAGTCAATAAATCTGATTTCTAACGGTCTGCTTTTTCTTCTGCCCATCTCTGAATATTACCACTACCGTCCCCGTCTTTCTATCCCCCCTCTCCAGCCAAAAAGAGCAGGATGGAGGAGACGAAAAGAAGCAGCTGCAAAAGAAGAAGGTGAAGGAGCTGAAGATTCTTGATGGAAAGTCTGCACAAAACCTTTGTAAGTCCACACATGCCCATGTTGGTTAATGTGCAATACACTGGCTTATTCTGCCATACTGTAATATTGCAATCTTTAAAGCTCACTACTATTACTCATTTAATTTCTGTCTGTCACATACTGTGGCATTTACTTCTGTCTATATTGTCATGTATTGTATATATAGTATTATAAGGTGCATACTCTTATTCTATTTCTACATACATATATATATATATATATATACTTTCTATTTCCATATATATTGTGTTAGATATTGTAATATAATTATTATTTCTATTCTTTAATGTTGTGTGAGCAGCTTGAGCAACTGTAACAAATAAATTTCCCCCCTGGGGGGATCAGTTAAGTATTTCTGATTCTGATCTGTTCATTGAAATGTCAACAATGAAGTGTTCAACTGAGTCATTACTGGATTTTCATGAATGCTGTTAATTGTGTTTACTCATACAGCCATTTTCCTGGGATCGTTCCGTCTCCCATATGAAGAGATCAAGAACGCCATCCTGGAGGTTAATGAGAAGATCCTCACAGATGCCATGGTTCAGGTACTGAGTTCAGATCTCCCCCAGTGTTGAAAATAAAAGGCTCTGTGTATTCATCCATTCATGTTCTAACAGTATAGTGCAGTGCGAACAGTTTTTGTTTTTTATTGTTCACTACTGCCTTCATTGGCTTCTAATAAAATTGAGAATCAATTATAAGATCTTACTGATTACATATAAGGCACTTCATGACCTTGCCCCCAGTTATATTTCAGATCTCCTTGTTCTCATTCCACTCCTCAGTCACTTCGCTCCTCAAATCTCTCCCTTGTATCCGTTCCACGCTCTAACTGTACATCTAAAGGTGACCGTGCCTTTGCAGTTTTAGCCCCAACATTGTGGAATAGTCTTCCCCATTCACTCAGATTCACTGAATCTGTGGACTGTTTTAAGCAGCTGCTCAAAACCCACCTCTACAGGCCTTCATATAGATCTCCTTGTTTGTTTTCTCTTCTGTCGTTTCTCTTTCAATCTATCCTTCCCTCTTGTTTTATCTTCCTTTGTTTTTATTTACATGCTCCCTATGTTTGTGTTTTTGTGTGTTGTTTGTAAAGCACTTTGGACCTCTGTGTCAAAAAGGTGCTATATAAAAACAGTTTTACATACTTACTGTGCCTTTCAGAGCAGTGTCCTTTAGTAAGATATTTTATTTAACATTTATTTAACCAGGAAGTCTCTTGAGATCCATTATCTCCAAAGTGGCAGCATTAGATGGGTATCACATTGTAACATAAGAACACAACATCTTAATCTTCAAGATTATTCACACATTGAATCTTCAAGGTTACTGCTCATTAGCTGTTTGTACTTTACAGTGGAATAACCCACAGGAGAATTTGCTTTCTGTCTTGTTGTGTGTACACCCATGTCTTGCTCAAGGAGTGGTTTTGGAGGCGGCACAGTCTCCAGATCATGTTAATTGTATATTTTTCTCTTATTGCCACATAGAACCTGATCAAACAACTGCCAGCACCAGAGCAACTGAGTGTCCTGGGAGAGATGAAGGATGAATACGATGACCTGGCTGAGTGTGAGCAGTTTGGAGTAGTGGTGAGGAAAAACACACAAAACAGACTATTTTGTTTTTGTAAAAACGGTGTAACTTCACTTCCCAGCTGACTTGGACATGACTAACCACAAACATAGCTGGGAAATTGGTGTAAATGCAAATGAGGCATAGAAATGTGCAAATACTGAGATAGAGTCATACCTCTACCAAAATCCTCATGCGGCCAAACACAGATTGCTTTGTTCAACTGTGGAAGATGTGAGTAATGGATCAAATCGCCTTCGGTCAGTCACAATTGTACGCATACACACACACTATGTGGCGACAAACATACTTGAAATGAGGTCTCAAATCTCTTTACCCTTTTTTTTCACTCCAGATGTCCAGTGTGAAGCGGCTGACACCACGGCTTCAGGCCATCGTGTTCAAGCTGCAGTTTGAGGAGCAGCTTAATAACATCAAGCCAGATGTGGTGTCTGTGACGGCAGCCTGCGAGGAGCTCAGGAAAAGCGAGTCCTTCTCCAAGCTGCTAGAGATCATTCTCCTTGTTGGGAACTATATGAATGCTGGCTCCCGCAATGGAAAGGCATTTGGCTTCTCCATATCATACCTGTGCAAGGTAAAATGATGTATAGACATAGTATACACACACACACACACACACTAAAAACTGAATTAACACAATGGCCTTCAGTCTTACCTGTTGTGCACTTCCTGGAGATCAAGTGTGGACATGGAGACGTACAGTAAATAACATGAAAACTGGGCCCCATAACAGAAAAACTTTCAACAGTTCTGCCTGCAGCATAATCACAGTGATCAATTCACTGCCCATGTCTTTCTTTATTTTTGCCACTGAATTTGAATCTCTTACTCAACAAAAACAAAAACAGAATCTATTCCCATTCCATATTATCCCATTTTATATAGTTGAGTGATGAGAGGGGTCTACATAATAACAGATGTAGATAGACAGTAACATGCAAAGGTTTCCAAGATTAAAACATGTCTTGATGGCCCTTATCAGAACAGTGGTGTCTTTTTTCATTTTATTGTATTTTTATCTGATTTTATGATGTGGAATTGGTGCACAGACAGAAGTGCATAAATGTTGGAATTTTGGAAACTCATAATCTGCACATACTTACTACTTGCACATATACACATGTAAGCACAAAGAGTGTGTAACACTGACTGCACATGCTGACATTAAATAACTTTCAGTTGATTTCACTGTTCCCTTTTAAATCAATCCTTTTTCTCGTCAGCTGCGTGACACCAAATCAGCTGATCTGAAGCAGACACTGCTCCATTTCCTGGCTGATGTGTGCCAGGAGCAGTATCCTGAGGTCATGACCTTTGCAGATGAACTTATCCATGTGGAAAAAGCCAGCAGAGGTACATCATGGGACATCTATCTGACCTCTACATCTCTGACCCTACATAGTGTCATCCTTATATTCCTTACATTCATCTTATTGATAGAGCGTGATCTCTTTATCATAGTCATATAAAAAACAACAGCAGTCCATCATAAGATATCTATGTAGGTGTTTGTATTTAGGTGCTCTGCATTATTAATGGTTCCCCTATGTCCCCCTGCAGTTTCTGCAGAGACTCTTCAGAAGAACCTTGAACTCATGGGCCGTCAGATCAAGAGCATGGAAAAAGATCTGGAGACCTTCCCTCCTCCACAAAATGACAAGGACCTGTTTGTGGAAAAGATGTCCATATCCTCTTTGTTCAGTCACATATTTAATAATATTAATATTATTCAGAAATTGCCTAAAACAGCCTGTTTCTATAAAATGTCTAACCATAGATCTTGTCATCATAAATTATAATTTTTATGTCTTGATAAAATCAAGAGGTACTTTTTCTGTTTTCCTTAACACAATGTCTTCACAGTTTCGTGGGTAGTGCCCATGAGCAATATGAGAAGCTGGATCTGTTGCATAAAAATATGGAGAAGCAATATAGCGACCTGGGAGACTACTTTGTCTTTGACCCAAGAAAAATCTCTGTAGAGGAATTCTTTGGCGACCTCAACACCTTTAAAAACATGTTCCAGGTGTGTTCTTGTGCATGTGAATTAGCTAACTCAAGTCCGATCTGTTTCAAAGGGCGCAGCTGTGGTTTTCAGTCTTTACTTACTACCCTCAAATAAAATGTGTACACATACAGTACAAAGACATGCACACAAGTGGAGTTGAAAAAGTTGAAAAAAATCAAGTAGATGAAAGATAAATATCAAACTAAGAGGAGAAAAATGGCTGTGCACCTGTTCATATTGACATAATAATGAATGAGAGTGACTTCATTATATTTTCCGTTTATACATCAACTGTAAATCTGCTGTTTGGGAGGGTTCCCACAGGAGGTAACTTGTTTTACCAGTTTCTTTGGGTAACCGCCATCCACTGGTTTTGAACTGATGTTTATATACACAGACATCCGTCAGATCCATCATACATCTGTCTGCTTGAATTTTGGTTTGGTTATCTGAAATTTAATTTGCCTGCATGCACTGTCTGATAAATAGTTTCTCCTTTTTTCTGTCTTCCCCCACCAGCAAGCGGTGAAGGAGAATCAGAAGAGGAAGGAGGCTGAAGAAAAGATCAAGAGGGCCAAGCTGGCCAGGGAAAAGGCAGAGAAAGAGAAGGAGGAGAAACTGAAGAAGAACCAGCTCCTTGACATCAACGCAGGTCACAATTTGATCATATCTGTTTACCTGCATGTGACTGAAAGAGGGAGAAACACTTCACATCTCTCAGTTTGTTGTTCCTTCACATTCCAGTTGGGGGCAGTCAGAGTCCACGCATCTGTGGGATATTTGTGTGTGTGTGTGTCTGTGTGAAAGAACAACCCATCAGTATTTATAGACCAGACTTAATCTAATGTTGATGACATGTGTTTTAAAGTAAGCAAATAACAATAAGCTCCAAAGAAAGTGAGGAGAAGGAAAACGTATACAAGGAACCACTTAACCTCTTTTCATTCCTTTGGTGAACAGGAGATTTGCCTCTATAAAAGAGAACCCAAAGAATGTCTCAATCTCTTTATCACCAAAACCATGTTCCAACTCTTTTATGACGCACTTTTATATATGCTGCTAGTATATTGTCCCGTGTAACACACACAGACACACACACACATTCTCACTCTCTCATCCTCACACTGAAATCATGCCTTGCAGACACATATTTATGCACAGGCACTTTTTCCCCCTTCTCTCAGACTGACCTAGTTTCAGTACATTCCTCCTCTCTCTGGCTCCAGTTGGGTTCTCCTGGGACTCCTCAGTTCCACAGTCAAAATTTGCTACAGCCTCAGTGCCCTCTGTGTATATGTGTATGTATGTGTGTTACACAATTACTGTGTCTTTTCTTTGTGAATGTTTCTGTTTTGCTGTTGCCTGTGTTTTGGAGAACCCTTGTTTTGGCCAAAGATTTTCTCAACTGTGTGTTTCTGAACTCTGTCTGTGTGGGTGTGTGTATAAGAATGTGTATCTGTGTGTCCTCTTTTACAAAAAGTCTTTCTGGCCTTTCTCCTCTTTCTCCATGTTCCAGCTGGCTTCTCCTCTCCTCGCTTTCTTGCTTTTGTTACATCACTCCCTCTTCTTTTTCCCTTTCCCTCCCCCTGTGTCTGCCGTTCATTTAAAGGGGCACTTAAAGACCCAGCAAGCACTGAGGCTCTACTTAGAATATTTTGTCTCTGTGTTAAAAGCATGGAGCAGACATTTTGTGGTAGAAAATAAGGTCAAATTTCATTATCAGCCTCTAAAGGCATGCGCGACTGGAACATAATAGTGCTTCAAAGACGACTGTGTGTATGTGCATTAGTGGGCTGGAGATCATTTACATACAGGTGGCATATTTGACTGCCCCTGAAACCAGGAGTCATTCAACACCCCCCTATTTAAATGCAACCACACACAAATCTGGCATACACACACCTGGTCTTTGTTCTGTATTTGTTTATAACCCTCATACTGGATGGATTTTAAACAAAGCTTGTTTTCAGCAACTACACTTTTGCACGCTCTCACTTTCTTGTTCCCTTTTTTCTTCTGGCATCTCACACCCACATAGGGTATGTGTGTACTATCTTTGAATGTTCTTCTTTCTCATGAATTCTCTGAATGTTCTTCTTTCTCAGTCTCTCTGTAAACATAATTTCCCAGTTATTGGTTAAACCCTAGAAGGTCAGTATGTGTTTGCAGTTTGTGGCCTTGCATTCCTATCTGAGTCAGACAGACAGCTCACTCAGTGGAGCTTCACATGTGCTCTGCATGTGATGCTAGTTATTGTGAGTGACTGATTGTCCTCACACTCTTATTAGATTGTTACTTATTTAATATTTTGATAATCTAATCATTTAGTGCTTTGACTTGGCTTTTATTTTGGCTCTAAGAAACCTGTAACTTCAGGATTCAGAGCACAAGACTGAAGAGTACTTTGCCACACCCAATAGTTCACATTCACCATCTGGGCTATAAGTAAGATCTTTGCTCTAATTTTATCTGCTAAATATTGTCCACTACTGTAATGAAATTTCCATCCCTGGCTGTCATTCACTCATCTTTGGACAAAAGCCAGACTACTTGGAAACAGATTTTTTCTTATTTCTACAGCTAGGTGTCAGTGCTGTCTATAAAAGATTGTGCGAGGGTGCTTTTTATGGATGTGGCCAAGGGTGTGTGCATGTGTGGTTTACACACCCACACTGATGCTGGTATGGGAACAGCCACTAGGAGTGCTCGTGCTCTACACAGAGAGTAAGTGAGGCAGTAGTGTGGGGGAGGGAGAGGGAAGGAGGAAGGTAGGGCAGCAGATGCTCTCTTGGGGATTAGACTGTGTTGTTGTCTCTTAGAAAAAAGGGCTAAGAGGAGGAGTGGAGAAAAGCACAGGGTGAGAGGGAGATGAGATGGGATGAGCCTGGGTAGCCTGATGTCTCACCCCAGGCAGCTGTGAAAGAAGTGCAGGATCAGGGCACATTATGAAAATATATATTATGTCTCCAAACTACTTAAACACTGTATTTCTTCCCATACTTATTTCCCATTTCTCTATTCATCCACTTCTTTTTCTGTTGTTACTGCTCTCTTCTTTGTAAATGTTTCCATTCATGTCCTCATCTGTCATTGTGTGAACATCCGTTAGGGGTGCTATTGCTCCACACAAGATAGTGTGTGTGTGTGTGTGTGTGTCTGTGTGTCTGTGTGTGTGTGTCCGTGTGTGCGCACGTCCGTGTGTGCGCGTGTCCGTGTGTGTGAGTGAGTGATCCAATATAGATCAGATCCGATACAGATCAGATCCAAAGAGACATCTTTAAGAGCTCATGATAAAATGCTATTATACTAATTTATCCGTCTTATGTTCTTACCCGCTTTAGGCAGTACCTTGCTCTTTGTGTGTGTGTGTGTGTGTGTGTGTTTTTGAGGCCATTTCAGAACTGATTTTGTATTGATTGTCAATAATAACACCATTATCAGATACCTCTTCCACAGACTCATGTACATTAACAAGAGCACATGATAATCAACAAGTCAATCAACCTGAGAAGTGTGTTTTCCCCAATTATCTTTCCTACTAATTGAACAAACAAACATTAGAGTCCCTTTGATGAAGAAGACTCATATATGGCTTTATTAAATAGTGCTGCCTTAGGCCAGACTCGCACAAAAACATTATAGAGCTATTTGTATAATGCTATACAGTGCACTGGCCCTAGGATGTTCTAGTTTTAGTTGGGAGATCACTCGGTCAACAATAAGCCTGTTTTATATACAGCTGGGTCATTGTGTGGTCCCTCTATTGCCTCCAGTATATACTCACAAATAGGTTTGTGTGTCTGTGTGCTTCCACCAGTGGTTTAAGCCAACCATGTGATTAGTGTGAGTGGAAATGTGCCAGATGTGTTCCCCCGTAAGGAGAAAAAACATGGCCTACATCATTCAGATCTGTCTGTGCAGTTCCAGGATGTGGACATTGAGGGGTGTATGTGAGCTGTGGAAGGCCTGATAAGTGTGTGAGAGAGACTTTCTCTGACGTGACAGGCGAGACCACAGGCCATCTGCTTCATGGCTTTCTGCAGGATTAAATAGTGTGTGTGTGTGTGTGTGTGTGTGTGTGTGTGTGTGTGTGTGTGTGTGTGAGTGTGAGTGCGAGCAGAGCTATGTGTTTGTGTTTGGGGGTTGGGGAGGTGACGACATAAACCTTTAACCCCCAATCTCACTGCCCCCTTTTCCAGACCCCTCTGTCTCTATTCAGGTTCAAATAGATATAATTAAAACCATCTGCTTATGCGCTGAGCTGTGCCACTGAATCCTGCCCACAAAACAATCACTCACACACTTGTAGACACAGCAGCATGCTATGGAGTCACCCCCATTGGTTTGCACCCCCTTCCCGGATTTAAGGCCACCAGAGTCTGTGCAGACAATGTGGATGTACACCATCAGCAAGGCCACCCGTACAAACTGTACTGTTCCTGTACACATACAGAGATACAAGGTCTCTTTCCTGTCAATACTCTGTTAACTATAAACCACCATTACTCATGAGTATTTTAATGTTTATGAGGAGGTTTGGTCTTGGTGGGTGTGTCTTTCAAATAAAACTGTGGTTGTGTGTCAGACTTATCTCTGTTAAAGTGCAGTATGTAGCTCTTAGCAGTGACAGTAACTTAACTAGGTCACTGCCTATCTGGGTTAATGTAGCTAATTTGCTAACATGGCCACGTGGCTGGTAAATAACCGCCCTGCCCACGTGTGTGTTAGCGTGTCTGTGTGTAACAGTGATAGATGGAGGGTTAAGAAAAACCACTAATCACTCCCCTGTTGTTGGGAAGGAAAATGAGTGTGTATGTCAGGGTTGTGTTGATTTAAAATAACATGGTTGTGATAACTGAGTGATGTGTGTGCGTGATATAAATAAAAGTTCAAATGTGACTCCACATATTGATTTCATCCAGCGTATTTGATGCATTGCTGATGTCATGTTTTGATGTTGTGTTTACAGAGGGTGATGAAACTGGTATCATGGATGGCCTGTTGGAGGCGCTGCAGTCGGGCGCTGCTTTCAGGAGAAAGAGAGGACCACGGCAAGCAGGTACAAACACAAGCAGAGCCTTAAATCTTTATGAAACATGCAAATGTTTTCAACATGTCATGTCTTGATTTACAGATTTCCCTTTCCTTTCACACACATTTGTGGTATGCATACAATACTGAAACACATATGTCCCGCTTCCTCTTTATGTTTCTGTCTACATACAACAACAGATTTATTTGTGCTCCCCTGTTTCTGTTCCATCTGTTGCATGGCTCAGAGACTGTGGGAGTATTCTCTGGCCCTGGTTACAGAGGGGCAAAGCCAATTTCACCAATGGGTGGCACAACAACAAAAGAAGAAGGAGGTTGCCATGGGTGGGTGTGGATACTTAAGAGAGGAACAACTGGTGAGGGTGTGGTTGTGGAATTGGAAAATATAAGAGGAATATGAATGTAGAGCTAAGGAGGGTAAACCAGAGTGTGGGTAGAAAGTTTAAGGAAGTGGGATCAGTGAGTGGGCAATAGGCAAAACATATTTGAACAACTGGCTAAAGTATGAAAGAAATACAAACTTTTTTTTCTTGTTACTTCACTCACAAGTTTGACTTTCACTGTGGAGTTCACATTCATCTGCTGAAGAAGAAACGTTTCTCTGCTCACCTTCAATCGGAGACACAGAGATGTGTACTTATGAATATGATTTTGACATTGACATTACACTAGTTGGGAAGCCAGTCGTGGCAATATGCTACTTGAACAAACCCTTGAGAATGGAAGAAGAAGACACCTGTCAATGTGTACACAAATTGATATCTATATAGTCTATATGGTATCAAATATCATTCATTTTTTCTTCCATTTTTATCTTGGAACAAAACAAATGGAACACTGTTTTTATAATTACTGGGCCAGCCAGAAGTCCATGTCCTGTTTGTGAGGGCATACTCACATAACTCCAATCTGTATTGATTTTCATTCAGGGCATGTTGTTCCATCTGTAAGCTCATAGAAACAGGCCAGTAATCTGGTTACCTACTTACTCTGCTGTCTGTCCCACTGCCCAATCCAGTTACATTCACTTACTGGAGACTAGAATATCCCCCCCTTTCTGGTTTCTGTACATGTAGCTCATTTTGTGGATAGCATGGTCTTGTAAAACCATGTAAATGAACATGAGGCAATGTGAGCTGTTAGGATAGTAACTTTGTAACATGATATCTGGTTGTAGGAACCTCGTGTGGAACCATGTGAGTGGGAAAGTGTCCAGTGCCCATTAACGAAGAGAGAGCCTGTGTGTGTGTGTGTGTGTGTGTGTGTGTGTGTGTGTGTGTGTGTGTGTGTGTGTGTGTGTGTGTGTGTGTGTGTGTGTGTGTGTGTGTGTGTGTGTGTGTGTGTGTGTGTGTGTGTGGGTGTGGGTGGGTGTGGGTGTGGGTGTGGGTGGGTGTGGGTGTGGGTGGGTGTGGGTGGGTGGGTGGGTGGGTTGAGTATTCACACATAACAGAGGCTGGGGAAGAGTGTGTGCAACCCAATCCCTCCCTCAATAGAAGCCAGATGTGAAGCGGTGCTCCAGAGTGGAAAAGCTCAGAGCCAGAGAGTAGACTCCGTCTTTCTTTCTTACTTTCTTTCTTTCTTTCTTTTGTTCTTTCCTTAATTTCTTTCTTTTCTTTCTTTCGTTCTTTCTTTCGTTCTTCCTTTCTGTTCATTCTCTCTTTCTATAATTGTGCATAAAAGTTAAACAGGGGTTGTGATAAGTGGTCCTCAGTGGTCCACTAAGTCACACTGAGAAAATCTCTTAAGTGCAACAAACTCTTTAATCACAAACAGCTCAGGCTCATCACCACTAAACTGACTGAGACGACAGTGAAAGGGGGAAATGGAGGGAGAGGTAGGAGCACTGTCTGACTGAGCCCTCAAGTGGGCCCCATTTTTTTCTCAGTCACCCATAATACTGTTTGGCCACCTCACACTGCTAACAGGAAATACCTTAACATGTGTGTTCGAGAGAGAGCCTTCCACACTTGTCTGTGGTTGGAAAGAGAAGGAAAAATATAAGTGGCTGTATGTATCACATCTCTGCTCAGTGCCTCCTCCCTGTCTGCTCTTTTCCCTTACCGTTTTGTCATTTTTGTTTTCTTTTGCCAAAGTTCAGAGTTTTCCATGGCTGATGTGGAGAGGGTGTAAAGCCTGTGGTTTTTAGGCAATCTCAGTGATGTTAGGAGTTTATATTTTTCTTCTCCCATGTTTAAAGGCTGCTTCTTTCCAGTTATCCACTTGGTTTCTTCCTTCACCCACACAATAGGAGTGTGTCTTTTGGTTGAGACAGAGGTCTTAATTTAGTAGAGTTGAAGTAGGAGGAGACACATCCTGTCTCCGGCTCAACTGATACATATCTGGTACCACTGGGGCCACAGGCACCTTGTACGAGCAGGCAAAAAACCCTCCTCTATCCATCTCATTTATGCATGGAGAGTATTTTTAGTACACATTATTGCAACATTTGCTGCATACAGGACAGACTGACTGAATTTGTTTTGTGCATGTTGTCTAGTAACACAACACATCATCAAGGAACCACAGCTATAGGAAAAAGTGATTCTTGTTGTTGAATCTTTTAGGTCAAAAATGCGACATAATGATGAAAGATTGCTATCTCTAAATAAGCGTAGATAGCTGTAAGGTGTCATAAAAGTGGCATTATTATGGTGAGATGTTTTCTCATCTCCCCCTCACTGATTGTGTGATATAATATGCCATTAGCCCTGAGGACCAGTGGAACCAGTTGCTCATCTTACCTTATTCTAATTACTTACTACTCCATGCGGTTAAATTACAATTAATTTCAACTCTGTTGAATAGTATTGCAGATCAGGTGTCACCTAATGAGTTCTCAAACAAAAAGCAAAGGTTCATCCCTTTGAATTATCTGTAAATACAGAAAGGAGTGGAGGAGGAGCCATGGTTGAATGAACTCATCCATTCAAACTACTTACCCTCATTTGAGTGAACACACCATTACAGTTACATGTCCCATTTCACTGTTTTTGTCTGAGCTTAATAATACAACTCAAGTCACAACAAACATGTAATTCTTCATTCCAGAAATGTAAAAATATGCATAAACTAATTTCAGACAAGTGTTAGACAATCTAGTGGCAAGTGTTATCACCCTCTGTCCTATTTTTAATCTGGTAGAAGAATATTGTTGTCTTAAGGTGTTGCTTATAGAGTTTGAAAGTCTTATTGTATACTTAAGTACTTTTTCTTAGTCAGAAACAACAAAATAAAGACAAACCAAAAAAATAAGTGATAAGAGCTAAGCCGCAATGGCTGAATGAAAAGGAGAGATACAATGACCATTTTGGTGAAGTTCTTTAAGTATGCCTTACTTGTATACTGTATAAATAAGGTAGATCTGTCTGATTGTGCTATCAAATGTCTCTTAACTCACATTTCTAACTTTTCACTTTTTAAAGGAAATGTCTTTAGCCACTACTGTGGCTAACATGGGGTTTTCCTAGTAGATGTTGTAGTTTATGTAAATCATAGTTACAAATCACATTTTCTTCAATCAGATCACACATTCTCACAACAACCTGTGTTACTTATTCCTTAAAATGTCATGAATCAAGCTACTGCACCATTCAACATCTAGTCAGATCAGCTACCTCTACAGGCAGAAGCCCAGACGTTGTTTCATCAGAGGGCGTCTCGCTTTACCGTCTGTACCAACATACATAATGTCTCAACAGTTAGAATTCAGCTTGTTCAATTGCTAAAAGATCATTAAAGGAAGGAACAAGCAATGTTTGACAACAATTGGCATGTGCTAGATGAGGTCAGGAGGGTAATTAAATGAGGACACACCAATTCTCTCACAGCAGAGTGGTGGGTGAAAATAGCCTGACCTAAATACTTTGAATCTTTAAGTCTTTGGGTGACTTTGAAGTATCCTGCAGCTATAAAGTTTGTGAGGCAGCCTGTTGTGCCAACAGTGTACATCTATACATAATGTGACAAAATAGAAACATGAAACAAATATCACAAATGAAAATCACAATGTTATGTGATTTTAAAAGCGTTGTATTAGTATGCTATGAATGTGTATCCTTAAAATATATGCAACATTTTTATATCTACTATATTTTGATATATAACAGCACTTAATATTGTTTTAAGGATCTTCATTGCGTGAAGTGTGTCCTTCCTTTCCCCTCCTTTTTATTTCCTCCCCTCACAGCCGGGGTGACTGCAAACGTCACCAACTCTGTGTTAAAGGACTACTGAGGGCCTATTGAGTGTGTTGTCATGCTTATTGTGTCACAGTGTGACTGAATGGAAAGCCACGAGGCTTCGGAGGTTATATACCCCTTCACCTTTGACCTGTACCTCAGCTCACTATGTTTGTGCTGGTTGTGTAGAAGCAGCAGATACAGCTGTCTATCCCCGTCTGTCTACCCCCTCCTTTAAACACATACAGACAAAGCACACACACCAGATGCTTGCATGCCAATACAAAGACACGCATGGATGTTTGCATACCAATACATACACCCAAACACACGTCACGTTCCAGAAGACAGACAACCTTGCATACTTTCAAACACTATCACACTCTGGCTCTCTGCTTTAGATAAGTAAGTTATGGTCTGTCTACGTTCTTTTGTGTGACTACTGACTTGTCGGCTTGGCTACGTTAGGCTAATTTGTGTGTGTACGTGTTTAAAGCTATTTGAGGGCATTCGTGTGCAGGGGAATGATGCGTCTAAACACTCACTATAGACCCATCTGCTGGGTCATGACCCTTTCCAGAGCAACCAATCACAGTAGCAACTAATTGACAAAGCACCAATCACAACAGAGATAAAGGGGATAGCAACAATAGGCACACGCTGGCTCTGCTGACAGTCTGCTCAGACAAAAAGAAAAAGACCCCTACAAAGAAGTGTGCTTTCACAGATGTTCACACACACACACACACACGCGCACACAAACACAAACACACAACAGGAGATATAATCTAGACCAATAGGAGAACACTCATCAATCAAGCCATTACTGAAGCAGTGGTGATGCCACATGCATACTGAACACTGAGTGGGATAATAGAGGCCAGCAAGCCCCCCCCATATGCACCAGTTGAGCCCATTCTGTGACATAACATGGGTGCTTGCACATCAATGCTAACCCACAAACACAAGCCAGTAATGGTGCTAGATGACGTCACCATTTCCCACAGTCCTCTAGTGCAGAGCAGCAGTGTGTTACGCAGTGTAGCCTGAAGAGGGAGATATAAGTCCCTGCTAAGATGGAGACACTGATGGAGGTCCAGCCTACATCTGCAAACACAACATCATGCTAGTCGTGGCACTGTTGCCATGCTGTCACATGACCGTGGCTTTGCTGCAGCTGCTGTACCGACAATAAACTCAGATTATTTTCCTTTTTCAACCTCTGGCACCACACCACACAGAATTTATCTTGCTTGGGTTGCAGGGTAGGTAAAATGTGTGTTAAGAGGGGAGGTGGTACTGTATCTGTCTACCTTAACAAAGCCACTGAGCTAGTTCTTGTTGCCTTCTCTTCTCAAGCCGCCCCTACACCTTCATGTCTGCAGATTCTCTCCTCACTCTTCTCCCTGTTTCTGTATTTTCCACTCATAAGGGCAGCACACATACAATACTGTACAACAAAGCGTTCTTTCCCTCATCAGGCAGTCATTATTGAGTCTCCTGCAGTGTAATGTCTTACAGATGATCTTTTCACTACACTCTTTGTGCCACTGATCACCCCTCAGTGTGCAAACACACTTATTCAATCTCTCTCCCACCAGTAAACAGACCTAAAAACAGTCTTTGTTGTGGGTCCCGACGTCTCATTTCCTACTGCTGCACACACCAGGCTTCAGGCCAAGGGCATGGATCATTTAGACAACATCACAGCTAGATTCTGCATACGACACACACACACTGAGCATTTCCTATGTTTGTAGTGCCACGTGTTAAAGGGCTAATTCAGCTGTTTCTGTAGTGCAATTCCACAAGATCAAGAGGTTTGAAAAAGAATAAAGAAGAGTAAAGGAGTGGTCAAAATTGAAGACAGTGATATTCTGACTTTTAGTCTCCAAAAACACTGCATCCTTCCTTCCAGAGCCACATTTTAAAAACTGTTGTATGTATTAAGTTTGGAAAGTTTAGAGGGATGGACTAACACATTGACATGGGATTTGTTGACAATAACAAACATCCTTTTTAGCCATTTTTATTTCTATGATGTGTTATCTATGTAATGTGATAATTGAATATAACTTGATGTGCTCATTTAAACCTTTTTTATCAGGTGATGTATTTGCTCTTGAGGCTGTTTGAGTTCATGTATTTGAACTATATTTAAATACAGAGAAGATTTGCACGACTTCTCTGAGAATTTTCCTCTCATTACTTGAATATGCAGGTGTCTGTATAAATTCATCTTTTTCCCATGCTGCTTCCAATGCAACAACCCACTGATCTTGACTCTTATCCCCCTCTCTCTTCCTCATCTCTCTGTCTTCTCTCTCAAGAGGGAGTGGAGGAGGATGAGAGATGAGAAGAGCTGGGTAGACGGCCTTTGAAGAGCTTTTCTCTGCGGGTTGGATTTTTTAGGACAAGCTTGTCACAGTACGCATAGACATAGAATAACACCCACACTGACGCACACTCTTTCTCTCGTTTTTTTTTTTTTAGGTACTTTGCATAATTTCTAATTAGTAAGTTTATGAGTAAGGGAGAGATTTGGAAAGGGACAAAAATAGATATGGAGGACGGATGTGAGAGTAGACTGAGAAAGAGAGAAAGTGTTCCCGTGTATTGGTGTTCATAAGAGATGAGTGATGATGAGTTTGTGTGCTTTCCAAGGAAAGTGTGCGAGGTGATTATTTGACACCCCAGCTGCTGTCTGTGCTGATCAGTCCAGCTGAGGCTCACGTACAAATAAGGCAAGTGAACTGTGAAGATTACTCTAAATCTCCCAATCCTCCTTCTCCTTTTTCTCCCCAGACTCAATTGTGTCTTTGTCACAGCTAGTTCTGGAGACCTGTTTGGTAACTCATGTTTTTGTGTGTGTTTTTTTTTTTTTGCTCCATCAGAACCATGTGTCCCGTCTTGGTTTGTTGTTTGCGTTTCTATGGTTCATTTGCATGTGTATTTTTATTGGTTTGCATTGTGATGATTTTATTCTTTTTCCTTCTCATCAGTAGCACGGCAACGCATTACATCAACGGGTGTCTGTTTATGATAACAAATGTGTCCTGTACTGATGTTAACCTGTTATTCATAGCCTCGTTTGCTTGAGGAACAAAGAGCACTGAACATACATAACAGCAAACACACAAACACAATCTCCCACTGACCCATATAATTCAAAATGGCCGCTTCTGCACAGCTGTCCTCCCACACAGGAGAATGAAGAGTGGTAAAGGAGAGGGTGGGAATGAGAGATAAAGGCAAGGCTGCTGCTGGTGTGTGTGTGGGAGGAGGAGGAGATGAAATAACAGAGTAAGCAGGTAGAATAATAAAAACGACAGCATCCTCAGGGCTCAATCTGTCACACTCGCTCTGTTTCTCTGTCTGTCCCTATGCAGTTCATATCTTTTCCTCACTGCATCCTCTATTTGTCTGTGATCTATTTCACTACTTCCTTCTGTCATTCCTTACATTCCTCCTCTTTCTCAGTCTCTCCATCCATGTTCCTCTTAATTTCATTCATCCCTGCCTCTTTAATCTTCCCACAGCATGAATCATCTTGCTCTTCGTGGTCTCTCACCCTCCGTCTTCTACACACTCACATCTCCAGTCCTTCCTTCCTCTCCCACTTCCTCTAAATATCTCTTTTTTTCCCCCTTTTCCACGTTTTCTACATTTTTTCCACTTCTTCAGGATCATGTTGAGTCTAATCTGACATTAGCAGCGAGTTTGCTCCAGATGTCACACTAATCCACACATCCACAGCCACACCATTAAGCCATTTGTGTGTTTGTGTGTCATGGTAATGCACTTGTGTGTATGTTGGGAAGAGACGAAGCATCCATTTTGTGTTTTATCATTTAAAACACAAGCCTCTGATACTGTGAGGTTCTTGGAGGCACATGCTTGTGACTGGGTGTTCAGCCCAGTAGTCAGTGTGGTAACTAAGTGAACTGGTTGTCTCTAATCATTTGCAGTGAAAAATGTTAAGTATCTGCCTGCTCATGGGGTGTTGTTATTTTTACATCTCTTTTCATGGCATGCACTGACATATCTGCATGGACTTGTTATGATATAAAAACGGTTTATTTATTTTCTCTTTATTTGTTTATCTCACCTACTAACTCCCTCTTTCTCTTTCTTAGCCAACCACCGACGAGCTGGTCATGCAGTGACCAACATCCTGGCCAAAGAGCTGATGCAGGAAGACACGCCTTCGTCCAGCAAAGTGCCCGCAAAGAAGAAAAAGTCAGAGGAGACGGAGGAGCCTAAAGCAGAAGGAGCAGAGTCATTAGAGGAGTTACTGGATGCTGCTCCCTCTCGGTCCAATTAGGCACCCTAGGGAGTTTTTTTTTTTTTTCAGTGATGTCCAGACACAGATGTATTTCATAGCCATTCCAGAGGCCAATATCCATCTGAGATTAGATTACTGAAAAAAGGGCCTGCGTTTCTCTGACCTTTATCTTAACAGGAACGTCTTTTAGGGTTAGCATTGACTGTGTCTTCTTGGAGGGCAGGGAGAGGCGGAGGATGAGGGCTGGGCTCTCACTTCAGCCACGACCCCTTGATGTCCCTCTTCAACCTTTGGATCTTTGCCAATGTCATAAAGATATAATTGCTTTCCTCAGCATGTGCACATATCTGTTTATGTATTCTTGTCTGTTTCTCTGTGTTTCTAAATCACTTTATTTTCACCTGTCATTCATCAAAGGGCATCTTGAGCAATTCCAAAGACGTACTCAGGAGGGATCCACGCTGTTTTTTTGCGGTTGTTTCCAAATCACAAATTTAGACTGGGGTGTCTAGAATTTGGCACATCCTGCAGGTGCTTCATAGAGTTTTCTTTGGATACTTGAGGCCAAGACCACTTTGCGCTTTTTCACATTGTGTTTTTTTTTAACCTATAAAACATATGAATTTGTAATTGTCTGATATACTGTATGTTACTGTTTGTACATGTTAATCATTTCGCTGTGTTATTGAAGAAAGTGCCAACCCATAGAAATTCAATCGTTTTCATTTCACCCCCAGGTTTGTCCAGTCACAGTTTGCACTGGGCTGGTGTTTGGACCAGTCATCACCTGGGTGTACGTTTCAGTGTGTGTTTTGTTTATTTTACTGAGAAGGGATTTAGTTCACTGGTGTGCATGCATTAGATAGATGTCACATAAAAATTGGGGATCATTTACATATACTTGTTTACCACACGTGCCCACAACAGTTTTATGAAGAAAACCTGCTTACTTACATGAACATTCCCATAATCCTCAGAGGGAAATAGGGTTAGATTGGAGGAGAAAGTTCTTCCACAGTCAGTTAAACCAAAAATAAATTGCTCTTTAAAAGGGTTTTCATAAAAAACCTAGCCTGAGCAGTTTACATGCCTGTGTGTTTATGTGTATGAGAATGTCTGCGTGTGTGAAGTAAGCCGCCTATATTTAGTCCTGTGTGCATATTCAACTTCCTCTGTGTGTATGTGTGTGTTTGTGCATGTAGGTTTGAATGCGTGCATGTGTGTTGCCATCTGTAATTACTGTACGGTACCGACCATGCTGTCATAAATGCTAGGGTTCATAAACAGCTTTGTGGTCTTTCTGCTGAGGATATAGCACACTGGATAACTGCCCGAAAACTGCTGAGACAAGTACTTGTGTTCAGTTGTCTGTGTGTGTTTGTGTTGCTCACCCACTTTCCCTCCCACTGAACTGCAACAGTAGTTGCAGAATGTCTGGCCTTGCTCTCATTTGTATTCAGTAGCCATCAGCATACATGTTGCCATGATGTTGTGGTGTAATATCTGACAGGAATCCTGCGAGGTGATGTCAGCTGCTCCATGCAATATTTATTTCTATGCAAACACAATACTGTAGCTAGCCTCAGGATGTAAAAGATTCAAGACGACTCAAGCGGTTCCGCTGACTCAAGATCAGTGCTTCATATCGCTGGTGATTTAGCTCCAAAAATTCAGTTCTTCAGGAATAAAAAACAATTTTTTTTTTTTCTCAACAACAGCGTTTATTTGACATCTTCCATAAAATGTTAATGTTTTTTGGAGGAACACGGAGGAACTGGCCCTTAAAATAAAGGCTCTTCAAGTACAAGTAGGTGTAGAAATCCTTGTTCTGATCGAGTGCTGGTGCTTCATTTTAATCCACTAACACTGAGTATAATTGGGTGTAAAGACTGCCCCGCCTGCTCTCCAGTACAAAAATTTGTAATAGCTGCATTTAAACCAGAGACATGACTGCTGTTTAATGTCTGCTATATTGTGCCCATCTCTTCATGTGGACAGTGCCAGGTCATTGTATGCGCCAGATACTGAAAAGTTACTGTTCTCAGCATAAAGGAGAGATAGATTTTAAAAAATGAAAAACCTGTCAGAACATCACTGGAATATTTGTCGTTTTCTAATTTGAGTCATTCCTTTTGTTCATTATTTTTAAAGAAATAGTTTTCTATGTGAAATTTTTACGGTTGATTATTTTAATGTATTTGAATGGAGACAAGATTTTTTTTCCAGAGATTGCTCTATGTATACAGAATAATGCACATAGTCATTCTGTTTGCTACATAGAACTATTAAAACTGTCTTAAGTGTTTTAATGATGTGACTGGCTCATTCTTTGGTCATGTCAGATTTTATGTAACCAAGTGTGCGTCATCTGTTGATGTGTTAATGTGATAAAATGTCAGAGTGTGTGTGTGATTTCTAGCGCAGTTGTATTCTTGTATTTTTGCCAAAGTGAATCCCTTTCTAAACATATTTCTTCATACTTCTCATTCCCCCCCTTGCCCTCTCTCATGTAAACACACAGTGCAGTAAAATACCAGATAGTTTCTGCACTCTGTGATACTATAATTTTATTGCCAAAAGCCTGCAGAACAATGAATAAACAGTGGAATAAATTGTTTCTACAGATAAATAGTTTCCATGGCTCCATGGTTTCCAGAGACAATTTCCAACAATGTTCAACATGATCCCTGATATTAAACGGTGTTTATGTAAGGGGAGAATGGTCACCATTTGTGTCCCCTTTCCATTTATGTCACAAATACTCCAGTATCTCTTTCTCTACCAATCCAATCACTAACATATAAACTGGGATACAAGTCAAATACAGTTGACCTTTTTATTTCTGAGGTTTCAACAAACAAACCTTCAGTCAACCTAAGAAATAAAATGGTTAACTGAGTATTCAGATTTCCTGTAACTTTAGAGCTGCTAGCCTACTTTAGATGTTGTGACCAGAGCACCCAGTTCAGTCAGAGGAAGCACACCTGTCTTCAATCTGACAGTCACTAAGATCATCATCATGTTTCACCATCTCCTCTTCTGGTCAGCAGCACTGACTCAAAAAACCTTTCTAACAAACTATGTCATGACTTCATCACTAATCTCATCTCTGTAGTGGTCACCCTAGCCACTACTGGCCTGTTCTGGAAATGCCCTGCTGTGTCATACCATCTATGGGGATGCAAGACTAGCAAAACTGCTGGAGAAGATTCTCTGGCCTCAGCTTTGTTCTGTAAGGTGAGTTGATTCCTCCTTTCCATCCACATCTCCTAAATCTTTTACAGTTTCTGACAGGATGTTCTCACTCTCGCTGCAGCTTGTTCGGACTGAAACCTTTGCATGTGCTTTTAATTTAAAATGGAAACAGCAAAACATCAATCATATCGTTTATGCTCTGATGGTACCGTTAAGTTACATCCACCTGAAAAGTGAACTCCCTTTTACTCTCCCTAGCTACTCCGTCTATGTTAGTGAAAATGATAAACTTCACCGACAGTTAAGAGTCAAGAAAGCTGTTTATTGGGCTGTGAAACTTTACAGGGAAATCTGAAAGGAGCCTTCAGTTTGTGCATAATGGTCCTCAGTATGAGCATGGTTCATTTCAAACCTTTTTACCTGATGTTCATGCCGTGTGTAGTAATACGATATTAAATGTGACTTTCTTTCAAGTATATTGTTTTATTTTCATGCCAGTAATAAGTTTAATTAGGTGTCTAACATAGTTTTAGTGCACAAAATCTGCTTCCTCCTCACATTAAATGGAGCATTTACTAGTGTTGTATCTGACATCACAGAGAGATTGAGAAAATAATGAGTTCTGTTTTTGGAAGTCATTTCTTGTCAAAAACCTGGAGAATAAGGAATCCATTTTCCACCAGCTCTCCTGTGCACTGAGAATGAAGGCCTCTGCTCTTTAGTGAACCTGAGCTGTGACTGCCATCCTTTCACCTCATTAACTGCCCTGTTAATTTAACCAGAAAGCCCTGACTTCCTTTCATCATTTTACGACCGTTGGAACTTGGGCACACATGTAGGCCATAGGGCAGTAATCACTCTGGCTCGACACTAAAGAAGATGGTGAATCAAAATGTCTTTGCACATTTATTTTGTACACATGTGTGTCTTTGTCACCCTTCCTGTCTCTTTGAAGACAGAAATAGGCAACCATACTCCAGCATCTGATCCTAATCCAAGTAAAACTGTAATAGAGCCAGTAGCTCTTTGCTTTTCACTGCTGTGTGTGTGTGTGTGTGTGTGTGTGTGTGTGTGTGTGTGTGTGTGTGTGTGTGTGTGTGTGTGTGTGTGTGTGTGTGTGTGTGTGTGTGTGTGTGTGTGTGTGTGTGTTCCTTTTGTTATCCACATGAGGCTTTCGGAAATGATTCCTGTGTCCCTCTTTGTGGTAGAACTGCACTGAGGATGACCCAGTCAGTCGTGTTAGGGAATGGAGAAAGTTTCTGTTGACTATATTGCAACTGCACAAATATTAGTAATAATAACAAATAAGTTAATAAAATCTTAAACCTTTTTTAATTAAATTTTCAAAATATTCTTATCCATGCATGCCTTTAAAAAGTTTAATTAGATTTTAAGGTAGATAGACAAATGCTTTTGTCACTTTGTGTTGATTGCACTACTACTACTATTTCCAAGATATTGCTTGTGCTTCCATGAAATTACCTTTAGGTGTTTTAACATTTAATAAGGTGTGTGTGTGTGTGTTGTGTGTGTGTGTGTGTGTGTGTGTGTGTGTGTGTGTGGTAAATAAACACAAATGCTATATGATAATACCAACCAGTAAAAGAGAATTATGTCAGCAGTTAAAATGACACTTTAAGCAGTAATTTAATTTCATTAATTCTCAACTGCACAAGTTGCTTTCTTTTAGGGGTATTCACTTTGTAGACTCTGCCACAGTTAAATTACTGGATACATGTAACCAGAAACAGTTTTAATATCTGTATTCAGGTTCATAATTTTTTCTCCCTTTTAACCTCATGACACAATAATTTGTGGTTTATAGTTATTTGTATTTTTTCTCCACTCAGTGTCTCCCCTCTCTACATTGGGGGAAATGGGTAAGATAAGGGGGAGGATGATGTGGCTTTTGAAAGCAAGCTTTCAACAAGCATGATTTACACTAAACGGAAGCAGTAACTTAAAAAGGTCTCCTTAATTCTGAAGAAGAGAGCTTGAGTGACTACAAGAGTTTGGAACAGAGGGAGAGAGAGAGGGTGAGAGTTGCAATTAAAACCAATGGGGAGCTTTGAGAATGAATGAAATGAATGTATAGTAGAGCAGATGAAAGAGGTTGGGGGACTGAAATAGTGGTTTATAGTTATTTGTAGGATGGGAGGGAAGGCTGGCTGTGATGAAGTGATTAGCTGACAAACAAAAGTGTAAGTCTCTGGATTAAAAAGCTGTGGACTTCAGCAGCACTGTGGGAGCGGCTGAGAACAGGCAACTTGGCTGTGTTTTTGTGTGTGTGTGTGTGTGTGTGTGTGTGTGTGTGTGTGTGTGTGTGTGTGTGTGTGTGTGTGTGTTCTGGACTTATGCCTGCAGTGTATGCATCCTCTTTTTTGAGTTTGTTTGGCACCTTTGCATCCTTGAGTGGATGTAGCCTAGGTGTTCTTATAGGGGTGTGTCTGTTTATTAGATTCTGCATGCCTGTGACTGTTTACACACCACACGTGGCTGTGCAAACATGTGAGCACATCCTGCTCATGTTAGCTGCAGGGGAGCTTAAGAAGACAGAAAGCAAACTGTTATTAACTTAAGTTTGACATTTTATCGCACACAAGAGTTAATGTCAGCCTCTGAAAACAAGACAGGACAAAGTTATCTGAGACACAATAGATTGAGCTGCATGTCTTCTTAGTCAATAACTGTTCTTCAATATCCGTCTAAAGGTCCTTCACGTTATTATGGCTGATTCGACCCCATTAGTTTACTCACCCATGTTGCTTGTTAAATATGCTGTGTCATCCTGCTAGTTTCAACAGGGCCAATTGTTTGTAAAAGTCACATAAGTCGTAAGTGGTAAAAGTCAGGCCGACAGACTACAGAGGTCATCTTGTAGACTACAGCGACGCAAGCCTGTTAACTGCAACAGGTCCAGCACCACATGCTCGTTCCACGGATGTTTTCAGCCATCTTCAGCCTTCCTTTATTTCGCGAGATGGTTGAACATTTGGTGAATAAAGCATGATGTACTGGAGGAGAGATGTGAATGTATTTTGATGGCCAGCTCACACTGGTCTGCACCCGACTGCGTGTGCATTCTCAAAATTAGAAATTGTATTACTTTGGATTAGCAAGAGATGGGACTGTAATACTCCCTCACTATGATGTTGACATTTTTGGTTTTAGTTGTCATTGTAATAACAGATTTCCTGTCTTTTCATCCAGCATCATTATCAGGTCAAAAATGTAATCTGTGTTTAGTGCTACCTGGCAAATGCTAATATGCTAACATGCTAAAGTAAGATGATAAACATTAGCACTAGACATCAGCCTGTTGGCACTGCCATTATGAACACGCCTCATATAGCTGCTCTATTGCCACTAATATGACTATAGGCTTTTGTTCTTCAAAATATTACACAGAATGTTCCCGTTTATTGGTTGGGAGCCAGTGTTGGTCATCTTACTTTAAAAAAGTAATTAGTTATAATTACAAATTACTTCTCCCAAAAAGTAATTGAGTTAGTAACTCAGTTACCACGTTGTAAAAGTAATTAGTTACTCAGCAAAGTAACTGTGACGTTGTTGTTTTTTTAATGTTCTATAACGCTGTTACATTCTATAACATCTATCATGTCAAATGTTTATAATCACTGAATAAAGAATAAAACACTATATACAGTATTTTAGAACATTTGGTATTTATTTGAAGTCAATAGATTGCAGCCGGCCATATGCATAGAAATAAAAATATATAAAAAATAAATATTGAAAATAAAATTCGCATACGTTGCATAAACATTCTTGTCTTTAACCTCAGTAAGAGAGAAGTAGTGTCGGTACTTCAGTTTGAAAACGCTACCTTTGAATTTCCCTGGCTCGTCGCCATTGTCTCTGTCTTGTGTTTATAGTAGTAGTTACCGTGCAGTGAGACAGCGTGCAGTGAGACAGCGTGAGCAGCTCATCCGCCCACCCAGCCAATCATCATCGCATTTGCAACGGCGTCATCATCACCACCCCTGCTCTCTCCCGGCAGCTGATGTGTGGCTGTCAGAAAGCCTGACACCGCTGCGCTTCATTCAACCACATTGTAGTAACGCTAGTAACGCGCCACTTTACATTCTCAGTA